GGGAAGACTGACAGAACCGATATTGGAAATCGTACGCAGAATTGAGTTCGGAGCGTGTCTCGATGGGAGACCCAAGGACAGAGAAGATACCGAAGGCCATTATGACTATAGAGCTGAGGACGGGGGACATGGCTAGATAGTTTCTGTAACAAGCTCGATAGAGTGTATGGAGAATAAGAGTCGTGATGAAGAGTGGGATGATCTACTCCGCGGGGTCATTGTGAGCTTTATATACACAAGAGATCATCCACCGGTGCTTCAAATACCCGGTTTCTGTGATGGCGCTGCACTTGAATGCAGCGAATGGTACGACTATGTTCCCACTGCTCTTCGCAAGGCAGAATGCTTTGGCTTCATCTAGATTCCCTCAATTAACCAGGACGGCGCGGTCTTCGCCTTGGAATTGCTGTAGCTGGTTATGGTGACACAAAATCCTTCGAGCATCGATGCAGTGCAATTTAGCGCATATTCTTTCGTAGGATTCTACACATTTTAAGCACTCATAAGGCCATACTCGCTTAGTATGATATCTCCAATGACCGCCCGACCCTACGTTCCGCTTGATCTGGATATGTGTGACTGAATTGTGATTCGGCGTCTTGTATAAGAGACTGTTCAGGGATGTCGGATAACTTACTACTTGCGTAGAATCTCGCACTTGAGCAAATCATATCGACGTTCTATCCAATCTAAATTGTTAGCAAATGTCATAAGGAAGGATTGCAGGTGCGTCGCGTATCTGCTACTCAACCACTTTAAATTAATTGCTGATAGCCAACCAGTGGTTACCATCGAGCATTTTCCCGATCGTCGAACCACTTGACCAATCATCGAGGCAGCGGGATCTCAAAGCGTCCAAGGTCAACACGGAGAGTGAGTAGGATCCGTGAGCTTGTTCCTGATCCGCAGTCGAGAGCTAGGTCGGGTATATTCTTCTTTCGTCAAGAACGGTTGCACAGATCCAACTCCGTAATTGACGAATGCATCATAGGCTTCCCAGATGTTCATTGCCGGGAAACTTCAATCAAAGTATGACATAGCATGGTTTTCCCTGCATTCTTGACTAATGGATATCGTGATTTTGAACCCAGCTCCCTACATGAGGGGATAGCGGTCGAGCCTGGTGCGGTCCTTTCCGTATGCGCACCGAGTGTTGGACATCTTGCGACATTGCAGCACCTCCAAATCAGAAGGTAGATGATGCCTTACGAGCCCCCCAAAAAGACCGTGTAGCTTTCCCGTACATCCACTGATGGAAAATTCCAAGATAAGCTTTACAAATCGTGAAAAGAGACCAGTTGAAGTTATACCAGAAATGACACCCGAAGAAAGAAGACCCATCAACCCTTACAAATGTTCAAGTGTCATCGGGAATCAATTCCTTTTCCCCCTTCCCCTTCTCCAGTTCCAGAACACCACGTTGCCTCTTCAGCATTTCAGAACGAGCTGTGTGGACGTTTTCTTCAAGTTCCGGGAACTCTGTAAACTTCTTCCTCAGTCTCCGCAGATGAGTTTCATCAAGATACTTCAAGAAATTTTCCGCGATGAACTCTGCCATCATGATCTTCAGAAGGTCTTCCGTCGGGTCAACCGAATCCTCGCACCTGTGTACTCTTTCCGCCACCGAGAGTGCCGCGTCCAATGGCCATGGTAGACTCTTCCTCATCTTCTGCTCAATATACTCCATGAGATCTAACATCCCCAACTCCCGAGCGACATTCCACGTCTCCAGACATCCATCAATCAACTCGAGTTTGTCATCTTCGTGCTCGATGACCTTCTGGCCGAAATCTCCCGACTGAAGATATTCAGCAATGCTTTCGAAGTTCCTTGGGTCCATACGCAGAAGGCTTTGCCTTTCGAAATAGTGCCCGTTGCCCTTTTTTACAAGATTCAGCTTAGAATTGGCTCCAAAAAAGCAAGGTCGATTCTGGACGGCTTCAAATGGGATGATGAACTTCGTCCTCTCGGGCCCGACAAGGAACGTGACCCAGTCGGCGTTGTCAAGACTATAAAAACATCAATCTCAGCTAACGTCAAAGACTAGTAGTATGGTGCTTACAGATCGGCGTCAAGGCCATTGAGATTTTCTTCAGTAACATCAGTTGTGAAAGATGAAGCAGGTGTGTTGACCGGTGCATTAGAGCCTCCGGCAATGGAATCCTGACTTGTGGTAGTTACCGGGCTGCTACCCTCGACTTTATTCAGCTGCTGTTGTTCAAAACAGAGCCCATTCGGGCAGTTCAATACGAATGGGGCAGCTGACGTTTTCCCCTTACCATTACGGGGCACGGGTTGGTTGCTTGGAGCACTGTGGACGAGGTTACTAGCTTCGTTCTCCGTTACATCATATCTTGCTGTGTAACTACGACTTAGCTCCGAACTGTTGCGGGCCTGCCTGCTGCTTTCAGCCTGTGTCGGGGTGGAAAAGGAGGGGTTCTCGTTTGCGAAAGAGGCGGTGGCATTTACACAGTATCCATTAGTGGGCGAGGGTGGACGATTTGGTCGAGGTTTTTTCGGAGGTGTCAGCAATTGAAATCCGGACTGAACTGGGCTGGGTCTCTTTTTCCTACCGATAGCCTTCAGACTCTCTTCCATGGCACGCTCAATCTCAAACTCGTAGTCGGATTCTTCTCGAGATCTTTCCGGCTTACTCTTTGATCGTAGGTTTTCGGAGTCCTCAGTTGCAAAATCGTCGGTAAATTGGGCACTCCAGTAGCGTGGTGGTAGGTCTGATGCAATTGCGTCTGTAACCAACTTGTATGCCTTTCTCAGACCAGGCCGTTCCCTCGCCGCTTCGTCCGAGCAAAAAATATTGAATTCCCCGAGGTCGCGGGCATTGGCCCATCGGCTGATAGTATTAGTCTCAGATATGATGCGTGGGGCCTTAAAATTACGCACTATTCGAATTTTCCGATGAGTAGTACAAGTATGCTATGAGTGAGAGGGCGTTTCGCCCGAATCTTTGCGGGGATATTGTTATTAAGTCTGCATATCACCGCGGGCCAACCTGGCCGTTGCGGGAGATTCGAGTCGACTGGTTGAAACAGCACGTACGTGTCGGGGCTGTGGAAGGCCATGGGTGTGAGTACGACCTGGATAGACAAAGCGAGCTTCCTCCACTGTATATGCCGCTTCAGGACGTCAACTTTTAATGAGAAATCCGAAATGGTTGTCCAACAAGTAACTTCAGGAAGCGCAATGAGCTGATTTGGTTTCGGGGAAGGAGTTGGGTTGGGTTCAGCCTGGTGTCACCTATCGATGTCTCAATTGGTCCAACCTAAAGAAAGGAATGGAGAGAAAGAGAGATAAGAGACGGGAGAGAAGGTAAGGAAGAGAGAAGAGATGGCCCAGAAGGAAGCCACAGAAAAGAGAAGCCAGCTGAGGAGAGGCTTTTGAATCGAGCGATTCGAGGTGAGAGAGCGACATCGGTGAGACCGCAACTTCCATGAAGCTGACTTGCCGTCCTGCTAGATATCTTAGTGTCATAATCACGAGATTCATATCCTACGGTAAGCTCTACGATATACGGAAATTGAGGCTGAAGAGCGAACTCGTTTCGCGATGCCCGTTCGTGCTAAATAACTAACTAGTCCGACAGGCTTAGTAAGCTTTACCTAGCCCTAGTTATCTCATTGAGACACACCTGGCATCAAGCTCCACAGGTTCGCAACACAACACCACACCAGACACTCGCTACTTTGCGCGCCAGAGCACCTTTCTAACTGGCAGGCCTCAACACCTGATATCGTGCCCAGAGATTCTCTCCCGTTTAGTCCAAACGTCCCCACCGTGTCGCCGGCCGTCACATCTCCTCCGTCCTCCGCAACCACGTTCCAAAATGCTCGGCCTCTCCAACATGCAGCCACGGCAGCTGGCCACGCAAATCCTCAATTTCGCACTCGTTCTATCTACCGCCTTCATGCTATGGAAAGGTCTCTCCGTAGTCTCAGATTCGCCATCTCCCATCGTTGTCGTGCTCTCCGGATCCATGGAGCCCGCGTTCCAGAGGGGAGATCTTTTGTTCCTGTGGAATCGAGGCATGGATACGCAGATTGGAGAGGTGGTCGTGTACAACGTCAAGGGAAAGGATATTCCGATTGTGCACCGGGTGGTGAGACGGTTCGGCGGAGGGTGAGTTGGAAGCTTTCGTTTTGAGCTTGGCGTTGGTAGCAGAGCTGGGAGTCGGTCGCAAGAAGATGTTGTGCTGCTTGGACGAAGCTATACTGACCAGTATTCTTGTAGCAAATCTCCCCTCCGACTCTTGACAAAGGGCGACAACAATGCCGCAGACGACACCGAGCTATACGCTCGAGGCCAAGCGTTCCTGAACCGCAAAGAAGATGTCATTGGAAGTGTGATGGGGTACATTCCGTTTGTGGGATATGTCACGATCTTATTGAGTGAATATCCATGGCTAAAACAAGCGATGCTGGGCATCATGGGTCTGATGGTTGTGCTACAGAGGGAATAGAGGGTTACATTTGACCCGCGAGGTAGTGGAAGGCGTGTAAAAAACAGGGTAGAGTGCACGTCCAGAATATGGCCACTGTCGAGGTAGTGGTATGAAGCATGGTTTTGGACCCAAATGCTGATTTGCCAATACGCACTTGCTGTGAATCAGTGACTAGTTGCATGATGTTGGGCCTGCTGGGAAACGCTGACCATATAATTTTGAAACAACATAAGAATACCCAATTGCATTCAGGCTTCTCACGTCGTCAATGCCAATCCAGTTCTTGCATCTTGCCTACAAAACGACCGGCTGCAGCACGCGGGATTCCTAGCCATCAACAAACAACAAACTATAGAGCGCCCAGATAAGTCGGTCACACCCCATCAATGATATAGTAAGCAGGCTTTAAAATCTCGGAACGACCTAGCAAAACAAGTCCCTGCATAAATAGCCCCGTGCCATTTGCCAAAGAGACACGAGATCCACCCTGTGCCACCACTCCCTCTGGTTGACCCAAAAGAGCACGGCAAAAAAGAAAAGAGCCTGCATCAGGCGAGGTTCGAACTTGGATTCACATCAGCCCAGCTCCTCTGCACCCATCTTCTTAGACTATAACTCACCTCGCGACCCCTGCCTCTTTCCATCTAGAGAAAGTGGGAAGGCAGTACCCTAACCACTGGGCTACTGATGCCATCACAGGATTATACTCTAACCCCAAAATTTCACAATATATATAGTTAATAACAGCCCCTAAACTGCCCCGAAGAACATGCCGCTTTTCTGGCAGAGATACTTAGTGGGTGCACATGGACACTGAGTACATAGACATGGGTCGGAGATGAAGCCGGAAAGCTGCGTCCCCGCCTGTAGAGAACGCGGGTAGCTGCAACGGCGGTGAGTCTACACACAGAGTGGGCTGACAAGTGAGCTGATGACTTGAAGAGAGAAAGAGCGGTCGGGGTTGACGATACAGCGTGCGGAAGGCGCAAAGGATGAGGCGAGAAGGAAGGCAGGCCCCGTGATGCATACCAAGGCGGGCGTTGAGCTGGGATTCTGGCTACGACGGCAGGAAGGGTCCTACGCTGGCGACGAGGACCGGAGGCGCAGTTCAACGGACCGACTTTGGTTTTAACCATAGATGAAACCTCTGCCGTGCTTGATATTTCGCACTCGTCGATATAGTCACTGTCACGATGAGCAATGCAGGTAATTGGACAGGATCTTCGGTCGCAGAGATTCATACTACGGTTAACTAGTATACATAGGTCATGAGCTTTCATGATGTCTTGCGTCTATAAGAGTGACGCCAAACATCATCGATGAGGTACCCACAGTTGCCGAGTCTCTGCGGACCTTGAGAATCCCCACAGATCGATAGCCTCGTGATACCCTCCATGTAGAGGAAATAGAAGAAAAACAGGAAAGAAAGGAGACCGATCCCATATCCTGAGCCCGTTGCACCACACCGACGACCACCGAACCTGATTATGCAGACTCATTCAGAGCGAAACTCAGAACTGAGAATCACGCGCCATGAGAAGACAATGAAGACGATAAGAGGGGGATAGCAGTCCGATTACTCAGATTCCTCTTCCTCTTCGGCACCCTGTCTGGGGTTAGTCACGGTTCAAAGTAAGAATCTGGAACAGACATACAGCAGCATAAGCGGCCTTCTCCTCTTCGTACCGCTTCTTGTCGGCAGCAGCCTTGGCCTCATAGGGAGCACGTTGCTTCTCGGTCAAGGCCTTCCACTTCTCGCCGAGCATCTTGCCGACCTCGCCTGCAGAAGAGTTAGACGATTACGTTAAGCTCGGGCGGGTCGCGCATCACAACATACCGAACTTGATTCCGGGGTTGTCCTCGCGGACCTTGTCGCGCTGCTCGTTGGCGAAGAACATGTACGCAGACAGACCACGCTTGGGTGCGTTGGGGTCTAGAGATGTCAGTGACCAGATAATAGATGGAACAAAAGACGAAGCTCACCCTTCTTCTTCTTGCCACCGTCGGCCTTGGCAGCCTTGCCCTTGCTGGCGCGTGTGGTCTTCTCCTTAGGCATGTTGTTGAGAGCTAGTTAAGCTGTCTGGGTCTGGGCGGTGTTAGTGGGTCGACGAGTTTAATTTAAAATAAAATACAAGTTTGACAGTCGAGAGTGAGAGATACAGGTGAGACGAAGAGTGGAACAAGAGCTGCGAGCACCGTTTGGTGGTAGCGTTGTTGATGAGAGTTCTAAAGGCGGTGGACCTTGGGTGGGTGTTGCGGGGGAGCAGTGTGACATGCGCCCTCGCTTTCCGCGCCCAGTTGACTCGGTCGCAAAACACCACGACTTGTCGCGAAGATGCGCAATTCAGACGTAAGATAGGGACCGAGTACTTACAGATGGCGGTGGTATCGAGGAAATGTTGCGCCTTAGATGAAGGTCTGTATTATAGTCAGTATGTGCTTGATATGGGCGCCGGCGACGGCGAGAACAAGAAATCAAGACGGTGCAGTGATTCCTAGATGACGAAAACAGAGTCGCTGGACGTCATGTCGCGTGAAATGGGGCAAAAACGCGTGGGAAAAAAAGACGTGGTGGTGTGGTCGCGGTGCTGGGCGCTGCGCGGTGGTAGAGGAAGCGAGTACTCACCAAAAGTTTGTATGGGGGCGTTGTGCAGTGAGGATTTGGCTGGAGAGTTGGGAGAGAGAGGAGGTCGCTGCGAGAACTTGGGTGGGCAGGCGGGCCACTGCCTTATTTCGCGGTGGAAGGTGCGGCCCCAAAACACAGGGAGCGTCACGTGCGCCGGGCTAACAAAGCAAGAGCCCCCGCAGACCGGCCACCCATTCATCCAACGCCGCGCCCTGGCGAGCAAACCAGCCAGGAGAATCGCCAACCGTGCTGTCGCTGGTGCACTGGTGCATGCTGCTCCTGCGTCGGCCAGGAGAGAGTCTGCCCCGTGTCATTGCAGCTGCTGGACGAGGCCGCTCTCACCAGTCTGCCCCCTCGAGCGCGTTGGGCGCCGTGCTGGGACGCTGCTCTGATACCCACGGCACGCATTCCAGGCGACGGGTTTCATGTGGCCCGTTTATATTGCAGGCAGACCGTTCGGCCCCGTCACTGTCATTCGCCCTGGTGAAATTGGTCGCTATCTCCAGTTACCGGGGCGGCTGGCTGAAAGCAGGACTACCTACACCTCTGCTGCACGTACGACGGCCGCGCTTCCGCCTGCTTGCAGCTGCGTCTTCTCGAATGATCAGGGAACGCTCGGCAGATGGCCCCAGGGCCACGAGCGCAGCCTCATCACACGGCGTGCTTCCAAGGTTGAGCAGCGACACCCGTCAAGAGATGACCGCGTTCCGCTGATATGGCTGATTTAGGGGCCCGCCTCCAACGTCACTGCGCGCGGAGGGGTGCTAGAGGGCAGCAGTATTCTGGCCACAGCACTAGGCCGGATGCGGTAGGGTCAAAATATTTTGGATGCGTGATTTGGACGTCCCACAGCGGCCTGCACCAAAGAACTTGTGCGCAAATCGAAAGGAACAGCATCCACCCACGTCCACGGATGGCGAGGATGGACTCTGGGGCCCGTTCCAGAAGGTAAGGAGCATGGGATGCTTCGTCACTCCCCTTGCCCATCTCGGCGGACGTAGTTGGGGTATCAGCGCTCCACCGGAGAACGACCACCCGTAAGCCCAGTCCCGCATCATGTCGTGGCTATCAGAACTGCTGGAGCTTCCACCACAGGCGCCGTGATACAACTTTTGACATTATGACCTGATGAACACAACTCCGATACCGTCATATCCGCCGAGAGCATTGTATTCGGGGTCGTCTGCTGCAGCAACCTTGTAGCATCTGTTTCTCCGTGCGTTTGGTCAGTGTGGAAACCGATCCCTTCGCTGTACTAGGAACAACATTTGCCTTTTTTTTCGGCACCATCCTGTTTGCATCACGCTCTCGGACATCGTAGGTTAATGGAGAGATTTCCGGACTGGTCCCTGATATCACCAGCCTCGTTTTTTTTTTTTTTTGGCGGGTGCACAACACCAGACTCGCTGTTTGAAGCTGTGTTGCGGGCTAGGGAAGTGTCCCCCTCAGATCCCCATCTGCAACCGGCTCTCTCATTCAAGTATTCCCAAGTTTCTGGACCATTGACAGACATATAGGGACTTATACATTTTGGTTACTAAGCGTTTGTATGGAAAGGCATGCATATAAGCAAATACCTCATCATCGCCCGGATATCTGGAGAACGACGGCATGTTTTACGTCCGAGAGTATTGCTGCGCCGAACTTATTTGGGACATGTAGCTGTTTAAACACGGTTTGCTTCATTATAGCTTCTCCCGAGCCCTCTATCAGCATGATCTCCACTCAAGCTTTCGATGTGTAGCACACTGTCTTGGCACACACCGTCGTTTGTGTTTATTCCTCCACTGCGAAATGTCCAATTGTTTAGGTTAACGTACCACTTCACAGATAGGGTTACTCTTCTCTCCTTACTAGCAGCAAGACGCCATCCACAGTCGCGGTAAAGACAGAACAGTAGTCTTCCCGTCCATGATTAGGCCTTGGAATCGACCCTTGAACTATATCGGGTAACTCCTTCGGTATACCCCGCCGCCGTCTTGGTCTGAGCCTGCTTGTTTTTGCAGCAGGCTTGATGTTGTTTAACGTCGTCTTGGGCGCTTCCTTAACAATTCACACGCTCTTGAGGGCCCGGAAGCCTCGCTCTCAATCTTCACCCGTCTTCCTCGTCGTCCATGACGAGCTCGCGCAACAGAGAGTCGGCAGCCCAGTCGATTCCGCTACCAACGATCAAACCAGAGATGAGTCCCTTCAGGGTCATCATACGCCTCCGGGAGGCTTTGAGGCCCTTTTCCTCCTTTTCCACTTTGACGCGAAGTTGAGGATCCTCGATGTCTTTGGTGGACTGTGACCTGAAGTCTTCTGCAAGGGTGAGCAGTGTTCTCGCAAGATCTTTGTTTTTATCGTTGGCGGCGATGTTCTGCTCCTCTGCTGCACTTAAGGCCTGTCTTGAAGCAGAGAGTCTGGAGGCGAGAGAGCTGTGGACCATGGAAACAATGTCGTTTTCGGTAATCAAGGGCAAGATTCGCCTGGGAAATGAGTAAGATAAGATGAATGCTCTCCTACAGATACTTGGAGTTATACTTTTCGGCATAGTCGGTATGCTCCCCACCATGCACGGCCTTCAAGACGGGGTCCATGATTAAAACTTTTTGAGTGATTCTGTTGCGCAGCTCGTACTCTGCTTGGACCTCAATCAAAGCGCTTTCTGCCGCGACCAGCTGCTTCTGGAGGACATGATCCGCGACTGGTGAGACATCTGGTTCACGTGCTGCACAAAGTCACTCGTGGACTCAATCGAAAACGGGAAGGGATACGCACCATTCTCTTGCGCTTCGAGAAGACTACACTCCAGCTCCAGCTCTTGTAATTGATCATACAGAGCGAGGACGACCTGCTCCTGTTCCGAGAACGCGAACGCGTCGCTGTGGTCCGTTTGCAAGAGCTGCGAATAGTCGTGTGGATCCTGAGACTTCAAAGGCGCATCCGCCATGGTGTCGTTGTTTGCGTTGCTCATGGCGAAAGTGCCTTTTGCTTATAATCCGGTGTTGCTGACTGGGCACAGTCGTGGACCGTGTAAGGTTCATCTGATCGCGGCGCCTTCACGGCAACAGCCCACGATGCTG